GTGTGGTGTTGTGTGGGTATACAATCACAACCCTTGCCAAGTTGGAGTTGGAAACCTAACTGCTAAACTCAGAGACTTTGTATGTCTGTCTGCCCATCTAGCATTTACCGGGTGCTTTCTTTATACACTCTATCTATCCAAACCAAATCTGTTGACTTCCTGTATATCCCTAACGGAATGGACCAGCAAGCTGTATGGTTGATGCTGGGGATGGGGCTGGGTTAGGAGCGGAGGCATTCCAGGTTGGGAGCAGATGTGGAAAGGCCCAGAGGCAAGGCACTGAAGGTTCCATCGGGCTTGGGTGTTGGGGGCTGCAGCTGGGGTTGGGTGCAGCTAGTCTCAGGCCAGGCATTCTAGAACCTTCCTGAAGAACCCATCCCAGACACTCCCTCTCTCCACAGGATGAAGCTGTAGAACGCTGCAGCCTCCCAGAGCCACCCCGAGAGCACTTTGGACAGCGGATCCTGGTGAAATGTCTGTCACTCAAGTGAGTCAGAGGACAGCCACATGGGCTTCCCTGTGAGGACTTCGTGGACTTTTCCTTCCCCTCTCAGAAGGCATAGGTGCCTAAACACGCTGCATCTGCACCAGCACATGCTGTGTGCGCGCGCGCACACACACACACACACACACACACACACACATACACACACACACAATCACACAATCACACGCTCCCTTCCACTCCCACCTCCTCAGCCAGCCCCCTCACTAGCTCCAGCTCCCTCCCTGGGAAACTGCCATGCTTCTTCCTACTCCCTGGTCCCCCAAGCTGTGCCCAGAGCTCCTCTGAGTCTCAAGACCTCTCCTCCAAGCATCTGTCATCACAGGTCTGTGCGATCCACTCTGGTATACCAGGTATTACTCCTGTGTATAACAGGCACTCAGTGAGTGTTTGTTGAGTGACTACATGAGCCAACAGCTTGACTCCTAACTTTTCAGCTCGTGGCTGAGGACCAGAATGGAGCTTCTGTTTCCTGCTCTGATCTAGACAGAAATGGGGTCCGGGAGGGGCAGGACCAGGCTCTGAGTGCACTTCCTGTTCAGTTCCATTCCCACGCTCTTGTGGCTGCTCCTGGGGGCTGATACTGATGGGCCTTGAACGGTGGCTGGGAGCCAGGCTCCGCCTCTCCACCCTGTGTCTCAGCAGGAGGGTGGGCAGGCCAGAGCCAGACCCTTGTTTTTACGAGTATCATGATCTCAAGTAGGATACCTGTGCTGTTCTGGGCCTCAGTTTTCCCATCCACACTCACTTCACAGGGGAGGGGGAGGGTCTGATGAGTTCATATAGAAACAGAGCTGCCTAAAATAGCAGGAAGTCTCATGTCCCCATAAGAGCCCACCGAGGGGCTGGGGGGTAGCTCAGCCGGTAGATTGCTGGCCTGGCATGCATGAAGCCCTGGGTTCTGTCCACAGCACTGCAAGACAGGGTGTGATGGTGCACGCCTGCAATCCAGCACTTGAGAGACAGAGGCAGGGGAGTTGGGAATTTGGGGTCCTTCTTGGATACATAGGGAGTTGAAGCCAGCCTGGGCCAAGTCAGACACTGTCCCAAAAGGGGGTGGGGGAGGGGAGGGCACAGAGTATGTGGTGACAGCTGTCCCAGAGCGAGTGGTCCCTGTTTACCCGCAGGTTTGAGATTGAAATTGAGCCCATCTTCGGCACCTTGGCCCTGTATGATGTGCGGGAGAAAAAGAAGGTGGGTGCCCTCATCCTTCCTCCCCTTCCTCCTCCTCAGGTGTCTCCCCTGCCCTCCCTCCTCTTCCTCCTCCCTTCTCTTCCTCCTGGGGGGGAGGGCTGTGGAGCAGTGTCCCCCAGCTAGCTGCCTCTCATATCCCCAGATTTCAGAAAACTTCTACTTTGACCTCAACTCGGACTCCGTGAAGGGGCTGCTCCGGGCCCATGGCGCCCACCCGGCCATCTCCACCTTGGCACGCTCTGCTGTCTTCTCCGTGACCTACCCCTCCCCTGACATCTTCCTGGTTGTCAAGGTGCCCGCTGGAGCCCTGCAAGGGGGTGGTTTACCGTGATCAGAGCCAAAGGTGCAGTAGACCATGATTCCAGCACTTGGAGGCTGAGGCAGGGGGATTGTGAGTTTGAGCCGGATTAGACTGCTTATAGAAACTTTGTCTCAAAAACAAACAGAACAGTTTCGTCTCCCTCTATGGATGGGGCAGGAAAGGTGAGCTAATGAATTCTGGGGTTTCTTTCAGTCATGGTTAGGTCAGTTAGGTTACAGCAGTGAAACAATTTACCAGCTCTTCAAGATGGGGGTTGAAATGGGGAAACTGAGGCACAGAGCATGTCAGGACCTTGCGTAGGGTCCCACAACTCTTGGCGGTGTCCAGGGCTGCAGTTCCTGCCCTGTCATTAAGAGTCACGGCTTCAGTGTGGACTGATAAAAATGTAACGTGTGTGGTGGTGTATGCCCGTAAGCCCAGCTGCCAGGGAGGCTGAGGCAGGCTCCCACTGCTGCGGCAAACACCATGGCCAACGACAACTTGGGGAGAAAAGGGTTATTTCGGATTATACCTTTCGGGTCGCACTCCGTCATAAAGAGAAGTCAGGGCAGAAACTCACGGAGGAACCTGGAATGCAGAGCTGAAGCAGAGGCCGTGGAGGAGTGCTGCTTGCTCACGGACTGCTTTCTTATACAACCTGGGGCCACCTGCCCAGGGTGACACCACCCACAGTGATGCCTCCCACATCAGTCCTTAATCAGGAAAATGCCTCACAGACTGGCTTACAGGCCAGTCGAGGGGAGGCGCTTTCTCCACTGAAGTTCCCTCTTTCCAGAGAACCCTGGCAGGTGTCAAACTGACCAAAAGCCAACCAGAACACAGGCGGATTGCAAATCTGAGTCCTGCCTGTGAGACTCAATTTCAAAATATAAATGGAAAAGGGCATGGCTCAGCAGTAGAGTGCTTTCCTAGAATCCTCCAGTGAGGACCTGGAGGCGTGGCTCAGTGGTAAAGTGCTTACCCGGTGTTTGGGAGACCCTGGTTTCCATCATCCCCACTGTAAGAAAGATAAAGAGGCGCTAGTGGTGCACTCCTTTAATCCCAGCACTAGGGAGGCAGAGGCAGGCGGATCTCCGTGAGTTAGAGGCCAGCCTGGTCTACAGAGTGAGTTCCAGGACAGCCAGGGCTACACACTGTGAACCTGTCTCAAAACAATAGAGAGAAGGGCGGGGGGGGGGGGGGGGCGGTTTGCTGGGATGCTGGAGAGATGCCTTAGCAATGGAGAGGACCCACTGTTCATGCTGAAGACCTTTGTTTCAATTCCCAGCACTCATGCTGGGGGGATCCAGTGCCCTCTTCTGGCCACCATGGGCACTGCATTTACATTCAGACATGCATAATTAGAAATAAAATCTGTTAAGAAAGTGAAAAAGAGCCAGGCGTGTGGCGCACGCCTTTAATACCAGCACTGGGAGGGCAAAGGCAGGTGAATCTCTGTGAGTTCGAAACCTATCTAGAGAATTCTGGGGCAGCCAGAGCTGCACAGTGAGATCTCGAAAAACAAACAAAATGAGAAGGGGGTGTGTGTAGAGAAAACATCAACAGCTTAAGCTGGGGTGGGGTGAAGGGCTTAAGACAGTTGAAAATGGAGCTGCTGGCAGACGGAGTGCTAGAAGTCAGTCCTGAGGACAGTGGCGCCATGGCAGCGGTCCGTGTGGGCTACCCTAGGATAGGTAGTGATAGACGCTTGCTGGGATGCCCGAGTCCCCGTGGGTCCAGGAGGGTCCAGAAGATGGGAAGGGTGCTAAGGAGTCCCTCGCTGGGCCCTTTCGCCCTGCAGCTGGAAAAGGTGCTTCAGCAGGGGGACATCAGCGAGTGCTGCGAGCCTTACATGGTGATGAAGGAGGCGGACACAGTGAAGGTAGGTGTGAGTGAGCCGGACAGGGTGGGAGGGCAGGGCCTGCGGGGGCGGCCCAGGGGAAGGACCCTGAACTGGGGGGCGGGGGCGTGTCCCCACAGAACAAAGAGAAGCTGGAGAGGCTGCGCCTGGCCGCCGAGCAGTTCTGCACCAGGCTGGGGCCGCTACCGCATGCCCTTCGCCTGGACGGCTGTGCACTTGGCCAACATCGTGAGCAGCGTCGGGCCACAGGACCGGGATTCCGACTCCGAGGGCGGTGAGGACGCGCTGCTTGCTGGCTCTCAGCGTCGTTACACCCGTCTCCCTTCCTCTGCCACCTTCACCCTCTGTCTAATTCCTGTCGTCCTCTGCCACCATGCCGTCTCTCCTAGAGCGCAGACCGACTTGGGCAGAAACGCCGCCGTCGGGGGCCCCAGGACCGAGGCTGTAGTGGGGATGATGCCTGCAGCTTCTCCAGCTTCCGCCCGGCCACGTTAACTGTCACCAACTTCTTTAAACAGGTGACCTTGATATAGGACACGGAGCCTGGGAGGAAGGGAACACAGGGATTCTTCCCCTGGGGCCCCGTCCATCTTGGGGACTTTCAGCCCTTGCCTTGTAACTGGCAGGAGGCAGAAACGGCTCAGTGATGAGGACCTTTTTCAAGTTTCTGGCGGACATGCGGCGACCGTCGTCTCTGCTGAGGCGGTTGAGACCTGTGACTGGTGCGTGACACACCCAAAAAGGAGAGCTGCTGCCCACATAGTCATTCAGCAGACCATCGTGGGGTACTGGGGACTCAATCCCGCCCGGATAGGCACTGGAAGGAACAGGGCAGTTGTGGGGTTTTGCTCCTAATTGGGTGCAGCCCCCAGAGGGCACCAGGGGACAGGCAGAGCCCCAGCAGAAGTGCCCCAGTGTAGGAGGCTGAGGCGGGTAAAAAACCAAGTTCCTTCTCCCCAGCTCAGCTCAAGATCGACATCTCCCCGGCACCCCGAGAACCTGCACTTCTGCCTGTCCCCCGAGTTACTGCATGTCAAGCCCTACCCAGACCCCAGGGGGCGGCCCACCAAGGAGGTCCTGGAGTTCCCTGCCCGCGAGGTCTACGCCCCCCATACCAGCTACAGGTACAGCTTCTGCGGCTGGTGGGGCCCCCATTCTGTGTGGGTGTGTGGGTGGGGTGTTGTGTGGGTGCTCCAGCGTATACGAGTGAGTGTCTGCATGTGTATGGAGGCCAGAGAACAGTCTTGGGTGCTGTTCTTCAGGAGTTATCCACCTGGTTTGAAGAACCTTCTTTTTATCGTATTTATTCATTTATTTGTGTGTGGTGGGGGCCAAGCGTGGAGGTCAAGGACAACCCGCAGAGTCAGTTCTTTTCCACCGTGTGGAGTCTGAGACTGGAACTCCACCTTTACCCTCTGAGCCACCTCAGAATCCCCACCTTTTTTCTTTAACATTCATTATTACTATTATTATTTGTTGAGACGGGGTCTCACTGTGTAGCCCTGGCTGGCCTGGAACTCACAGAGATTGTCTTCTTCTACTTCCCAAGTCCTGGGGTTAAAAGTGTACACTACCGTGTGTGTGTGTGTGTGTGTGTGTGTGTGTGTGTGTGTGTGTGTGTGTCTGCTGTCTGTCTTGTCTGTCTGTGGGAACACTCACCTGTGTGTGGGTACAGGCACCTGTGTGTGGGTACAGGCATCTGTGTGTGGGTACAGGCATCTGTGTGTGGGTACAGGCACCTGTGTGGGAACACTCACCTGTATGTGGGTACAGGCACCTGTGTGTGGGTGGGTACAGGCACCTGTGTGGGAACACTCACCTGTGTGTGGGAACGCTCACCTGTGTGTGGGTACAGGCACCTGTGTGTGGGAACGCTTACCTGTGTGTGGGTACAGGCACCTGTGTGTGGGTACAGGCACTTGCATGTAGGTACGCCTACCTACATGTGGGAATGTGTGCCTGTGTGAGGTGCTGAGGAGACTAGAGACTTTGGGTCCCCAGGAGTTGGAGTTGCAGGTGACTGTGAGCCACCTGACCTGAGGGATGGAATCGAATGTGGGTGGGTCCTCTGCAGGAACAATGTGTGCTCTAAACCAGAGCCTTTCTCCAGTTCCCAACCTTTTTGTCCTCAGACAGGGTCTCTCATGGCCTGGAACTTGCCAGATAGGATAGACTGGCTAGAGATCCACCTGTCTGCCTCCCCGTGAACTCCTGATCCCCCTGCCTCTGCCTTCCCAGTGCTGAGATGACCGTGTGCACCGCGGTATTGTGGTTCTGTAGTTGGGACCCAGGGTACTGTGCGTGCTGGGCAAGTGCTGTGTCAACTAAGCCCCAGCCCAGCCCCAGACCCCATTCTTGCAGACGCAGGCGCAGGCACAGACGTAGATAACCTCTGTTCTGTTTATTGTGGTGTGTGGGGGCATGAAGGGACTCGTGTACGTTCTCCAGCCCTCTTCTGCAGGCCTCTGTCTTCTGCCTTGCTTCCCGTCTGCTTGCTCCTGTCTCCACTCTCCGTCAGGAAGCGGAGTGCACTGGCCAAGCCCGGCCGGCGGGCAGCCAGCTCTGTCTGCCCTGCTCAGGGGCCTTGTGGATCACGTTCAATGTTCCTAGCGGCATGACTGGTTCTCAATGGCATCCAGGCAGGCTCAGGCCGGGAGGGCTGCCGTGTGGAGCCTAGGGAGAGAGACAGCTCAGTCCAGGCCAGTGTGGGGTGGGGACACCCTCGGTGGACCTAGGCACCGCCCCCTGCCCCCCCAAGTGTGGGTCCTCCACCAGACGCACCTCTCCTGGATCTGTCGCAGCCACTGCTGTTGCTCGGCCATCTCCCTCTGCTGTCGCTGAATGTGGCCCGTGAGAGCCCATAAAACGTGGCTCTGTCTGTCAGCTCGGGCCTGTGGGGTTAGCATAGAAACCTCAGCTGAGGGTCTGGGCCACCTCCCATCTCCTGACCACTGCCAGGTCTCTCTGTTACGATCCATATGACCCAGCAAGTGCCTCAGACCCTTTGGCCTCAGTTTCCCCATTTGTAAATGTGTCTAAGATAGGACTTGCTTTGTATAGTTTGTAAATGGGCGTCAAATAGTACTGATTGGGCTCTCAGTACATGGCCTCAGATAGCACAGTAACGAGCATTTATTGAGCACCTGTTGTTCCCATGGCCCCTGCACTTTGAGGCTCTAGCTTTGCTCTGAAGTGACCGTTCCTGCTCTTATTTTAAAATGTATTTTCTCTAGTGCCATAGCACCAATGTGGAAGTCAAAGGACACCTTTTGGGAGTGGGTCCTCTCCTTCTACCGCGTGGATCCTGGGCATGGAGCTCGGGTCACCGGGCTTGGCAGCGAGGCCTTTACCTGCAGAACTGCCTTTGCCAATCCCATTGTTCATTCATTCATTCATTTTGAGACAGAGTCTCATGTGGCACAAGCTTAGCTCAGATGTCTGTCTAGAGACCACCTTGGACTCCTGGCCAGCCCTTTATTCCCAAGTGCTGGGGTTGCAGGTGTGTGCACAGCACCCATTATCCGTCTTTTGTTCTTTTGGACACAGGCTGTCACATGGAGCCCAGGCTGGCCTCTGACTAGGTACACACGACTGGCTGGAAGCTTTGCCCCTCCCCCCTGCCCCTGCCCCAGGGTTCTGGGGTCACAGGCAACACCACCATGCCTGGCTCTTTATCTCACTTGCAAATGGGAAAATGGAGGCCCAGAAGGTCACTGAGGGTAGAACCCCACATACAGTTGGGGGTGCCCTCTGGCTCAGGTTCAGAGGTGGCTTCTGGCTGGGAAGCAGGGCTGTACCCCTCTCAGACCTAGGAGCCCCTTACCTTTAAGGTCTCAAATTCTTGGTGGGCCTGGCCCAGCCAGGCACCTCTCAGCTGGACTTGGAGTCTCCGTACAGTGTCCCGTAGAGCTTGCTGGGCCCGGGCCACTTCTCCCAGCGACAGGGCCGTGGCCTCTGCTTGAAGGTGTAAGACATCCTCTTCTACCTGCTCAACAGATGGCGTGGCGTCAGTGAGGTCACTGGTTCGGCTGCGTTCACCTAGCACTTTATCCCTTTTCCTCTATTATGAGCTAACCAGGGCAGTGGGACATCCTTGACTTAACTTTTCCTCAGACTCTTATCCATCCAACAACACCCCAGCTGCAGTGCCCACCTGAATCTCCGACAAGCTGGTGCGTAGCTCCTGTGTTGCATCCCGGCCATGACTGACCTCTGTTCCCAGGAGTCCCAGTGCTCGGTCAAAGAGGCCCAGGCTGCGTCCAGCTTCTGTCAGACGTGCCTCTGTGGCTCTGTACACACCGTTGAGGGCCTGGCCTAGCTGTAAAGCCCCATGAAAGAGCAGGGTCAGCTCTTCATGTTGAGCTGGCTCTGGGCCCCCCAGAGGAGCTACTGGAGCAGACTGCACTGCTGTTGTTAAGGCCCACAGGAGGCAGAGAGCGAGCACAGCCATGGCTGACAGTCTGGGGGGGTGTGGTTCCTGTGCCGCTGTGGGCCACCTTTTATTTCCACAGGCTGCCATTAACCCCCTTCTGCCTGGTCAATGGTTAGCCATGGTTGCACAAGGGCCTGGCAGGGGCGCAGCCATTGCATCAGGCCGATGGCTAAGCAGGCCACGCCGATATCACGCTGGCTAGAACTCAGGGCCAGCTGTGGCGGGGGTGGAGTGGGGGTGGAGGTGGGGCAGTGGGGAGCTCAGGCCCTAGATCTCAGCACCAGGGGCTGTATGACTGCAGGCAGCACGCCTCGACCCTCAGTTTCCCATCTAAGCCCAGGCCTGGCCTCCATGAGCCATGGTTCTCTACACACTGACGCCGCGGGGCCAGTGTGTCACCCAGAGGGGCCGCTGGAGCAGGCTGGAGTCTCCCGACTGTCAGCCATTTACATGAACTCCCGGGCACTGTGTGTCACCCGCTTTCCTTGTCTCCTACCTGCAAGGGGTCACTGTGGGCGCGGCTGACAGCTGGGGGGGCCAGAGTGACATGCCAGCCCCCTCCCAGGTTATGAACCTGACTCCTGGCCCAGTCTGTGCTCGGTGCTAATTTTGATTTAACTTCCTAGAAGACTCAGGACAAGTACTGCACCTCGTTTTCCACCTAGGGGTCCCACGTGTGGTAATACCGTTTGTTGAGCACCCGCTATGTGCACCCGGAAAGAACAGTCATTGATTGCAAATGCAAAGTTAGTAAGTAAATCAGGTGTGGAGGCTGAGGCACGAGGAACTTGGGTTCAAGGCCAGCCTGGACTACAGAACTAGACCCTCTCTTCTCTCAAGAAAACAAGGGCTGAGGTAAAGCTCAGAGGAGGAAGGCTTGCTGGGCATGTGCCTGGCTCTGTCCCATTCCCCAGCAGCACAGAAAATGGCCGTGGAGTTAGTCATGCTGGGTGTTTGGAGTGGAGCGTGGCACCCACAGGGTGCCACAGAGGTGTGCTGTGCCGGCTGTCACGGAGGTTATTGGTTGTTGGTATTGTGTCACAAAGGCCAAGCGGCAGGCCAGATGCCCCCATTATACAGATAGAGCAACCGAGGCCTACAGGGTGGGGGGCTGAGCAGTGACAGCGGGGGAGAGGGGGCAGGACCAGGACTCCAGCACCAGGTTCTGTGTCCACCTGAGAGACAGACCCTATGTAACTCCAGTGGGCCAGCAAGGTGGTGGTGAGGTGGGGAGGCAGGCATGCCTCTTGGCTATCTGGACCACCTTTGTAAACAGTTGGTTTTCTTGTTTTAATTATATGTGTCTGGGGGCAGGGTGTGAGGCATCAGGTTCCCCTGGAGCTGCCTGGTGTGGGTGCTGGGCATTGAGTTTGGATCCTCAAAGAGCAGTGGGTGCTCTTAACTGCTGAGCCACCCCTCCGCACCCAGGCTACCTGTTTAGACCTCAGCCCTCGGGAGCTGGAGCTGGGGCTCAGCTGGAAGTGTGTTTGCCTAGTTTTCACAAAGCCCTGCCGTCTGTCCCCAGTACTCGATACACCAGGAGTAGTGGCACATGCCTGTCATCCCAGCACTTTGGAGGTGGAGACACAGGACGTCGAGAATTTAAAAATCATACTGAGCTAACTGGCAAACTGAAATCTGCCCTGGGCTACATGAGACCCTGTCTCGAATGCTTGTTGTTTGTGGGTTTTTTTCTGAGACAAGAGCTCTCTATGTAGCTTTGACTGGCCTAGAACTCCCTATGTAGACCAGGACGACCTTGAATTCGAATTAAAAAAAAAAAAACCAACCTGGCTCTCAGTGCCCATCTGTGCCTGGCCTTGTACCTCCCTGAATCCAGATGTGTGCGTCAAGAGGTTTTAACTGCTGGGGCAGTGGTGTCCGCCTTTTATCCCGCCTTTTATCAGGAGGCAGAGGCAGGCGGATCTCTGTGAGTTCAGAGCCAGCCTGGTCTACAGAGTGAGTTCCAGGACAGCCAGGGCTGTTACACAGAGAAACCCTGTCTCGGAAAAACCAAACAATGACAACAGGAGAAGAGGTTTCATCTGTCCGTGACCCTCGGTGATGCCTGGGACCACAGCCCACCCTGTCCTCAGTGCACCTGTTTCATGACCCTCTCTCCCATGACTGCGTCCCCAGCCCTCTAGAGAGTCCCCCACCCAGTCCCCCACCCTTCCAATTCCTCCTTTTTCAGGAACCTGCTCTTCGTGTACCCACACAGCCTCAATTTCAGCAGTCGCCAGGGCTCTGTGCGCAACCTGGCCGTGCGGATCCAGTACATGGCTGGCGAGGACCAGAGCCAGGCCTTGCCGGTCAGTGCAGTGACCCTGCTCTGGAGGGAAGGGGATGGGGCAGGCAGAGGTTGTCCCCAGCGAGTCCCTCATGTTCCGCCTCCCACAGGTCATCTTTGGGAAATCTAGCTGTAGTGAGTTCGCCCGAGAGGCCTTCACACCAGTGGTCTATCATAACAAGTATGCAGGGTTGGGTATTGCACATGGCTGACCCTGGGGATCTCCGAGGGGGTCAGGGAGGCCGAGTGTAGGGAGAGTATGCACGGAGCAGGAAGAGCAGAGGCTTAAGTTTCGGCATGCAGATGAGGTAAGTTGAGGTAGGGAGTCATCCTGTGAGGCTCCCACCCCCTGGCTGGCCCCCAGCCCCTGGCCCTGTCTCCCCAGGTCTCCTGAATTCTATGAGGAATTCAAGCTGCGGCTTCCGGCCTGCGTGACCGAGAACCATCACCTGTTTTTCACCTTCTATCACGTCAGCTGCCAGCCCCGGCCGGGAACGGCCCTGGAGACGCCCGTGGGCTTCACCGTGAGCCACTGTTACCCCACAGCTTCCTCCCGACCCCTCCCCCGAGGTCTCCGGCCGCACCTGACCCTCACCGTTCCCCTTCTCCCCAGTGGATCCCTCTGCTACAGCACGGCCGCCTGAGGACCGGCCCCTTCTGCCTGCCTGTGTCGGTGGACCAGCCTCCACCCAGCTATTCCGTCCTGACCCCGGATGTACGTGCCTGCGCCCCCAGCACCGATGCCTTCGTTGCCCTGTCCTCACAGCCTCCTCCCGCCTCCCTTCAGTGCCCTGGAGAGCCCTTGGCTTCCGTGGGCACCTGGGGTCCCCTGTGCCTCCTGCCACCCCAACAGAATGTCTCTGTGGGCGGTTGCATCCCATGTGTCTCTTTCCATACCCCCGCAGGCCTCTCCTCTCTCGCTGTCCCCCAGCCTCTCTGTTCCTTTGACAGTCTTCCCTTTGTGATTAAAAAAAAAAATAATTCTTTTATTTGTTATTTTGGGGGTGTGGCTCGTGTGCCATGTGTGTGAAAGTCAGAGAATAGGTTTTCGGAGTCTGTTCTCTGCCATGCAGGTCCCAGGGCTTAGATGCAAGTTACTAGACATATTATTTATTTGTTTATTTATTTATTTATTTATTTATTTATTTATTTATTTATTTATTTATCTATTTATTTATTAGACAAGGTCACACACAGCCCAGGCAAGCCTGGAATTCTGTGTCGTCCAGGCTGACCTTGAACTCCTGACCCTTGCCTCTGTCTCCCAAGTGTTGGGATGACAGGCGTGTACCCCCTCCATCGACCTCATTATATTGCTGCCACCATCCCGTTCCCCTTCTACTAGCTAATGAACAAGTCTGACGGTTTCAAGTCCCCCCTTAAATGCTATTCCTAGGCCATTGCTTTTTCTAGCTAGTTTTCACTCTGAACATACCCCTCAGTTTCTGTGGGTTTCCAGCCTGCCCTTAGGGCTCCCTTAGGGACAGGGTACCCTGCCACTCCCTCAGGCTGGGCTACTTTCTGGCCATGGTGTCGCAATGGCGAAGGCTACGGCCTGGTCTGGTGGCCTGATGCATGGGGGAGGGTCAGCCTGTGCCCACCCCGCCCCTCCCTCCCTCCCACAGGTGGCGCTGCCGGGCATGCGCTGGGTGGACGGTCACAAGGGTGTGTTCAGTGTGGAGCTCACAGCTGTGTCGTCCGTGCACCCGCAGGTACGGGGTGGGATAAGAACTCAGGCTCCCAGGCCTGTCCCCCTCCTGCCTACCCCGGGATTGAGCAAGACGCGCTTGCAACTGCCTGGTAAAGGTCTGGCCTCCAGCCACTGGACGTAACTTCAGTCCATCTGATCTAGATTGCTGACTCAGGTGGGGGGTGGGCACCCCCTGCCCCCACCCCCGCTCTCTGCTCACTCCATGCCCTTCCCTCTCCTTAGGACCCCTACTTGGATAAGTTCTTCACCCTGGTACATGTTCTAGAAGAAGGGACCTTCCCATTCCGGCTCAAGGAGACGGTGCTGAGTGAGGCCACCGTGGAGCAGGAGCTGCGAGGCAGCCTGGCAGCCCTGCGCCTCGCCAGCCCAGAGCCCCTTGTGGCCTTTTCCCACCATGTTCTAGACAAGCTTGTCCGCCTGGTTGTGCGGCCCCCGGTCATTGGTGGCCAGATAGGTGAGCCACGGTGGTTTTAGGCCTGTTTCCCCAACCCTGAGTTTCTTCCTCAGTTCATTTGTTTCTCTGGACTCCCAGAGCACCTCCCCCCAGTGCTGGGCCTTTAAGATCCCCATGAGCTCTAGCACCCTAGCTACCCTCCCTCCTCTGGAAGGTGAGTGGGGACCTGGGAGGCTTTGGGCCGTGGAACTTGACCTTTGCTCTGTCCGACAGTGAACCTGGGTCGAGGGGCCTTTGAAGCTATGGCTCATGTAGCCAGCCTTGTGCACCGGAGCCTGGAGACTGTCCAAGATTCCCGTGGTCACTGCCCGCTGCTGGCTGCCTATGTGCACTACGCCTTCCGCCTCCCTGGCGGTGACCTCGGCCTGCCAGGTGAGTGTTAGCGGGGAATGCGGGGCCACAGGAAACAGTGGTGAGCACAGCACACTAAGCAGAGGAGAATAACCCTACGTCAAGGCCCCGGGGCCTCCCGGCCTCGCTTGGGTGACTTACAGGTAGACACCATCTCACCCACTCTGCTCTGGCCCCAGGGCATGTTTCTACACACTTGACCAGCAACTGATTCAGCCCATCAGCAAGATGCTGAGAGCAGGGGCTTAAGACGGGCTGCCTGGTGTTGAGCGACCATTCTACTGCCTAGACGCCCTGTGACCCTGGCCTCACCTCTCCGAGCCTGT